ACAGGGAGACTTACATGCTACCTAACTCTGCTCTGTTTCCTCAGTTGTAAAACGGGGACAATAAAACCTTTTCCTGCTAAAACGGCATCATAGTAAGAATCAAATGTCACCTTTCGTAAGAAACCATTTTGATGATGATGATGACAGCTCTATTTTTTATAGAACATGTATCTTTATTTGTAGTAAACATTTTTAAATTCAAAATATTATAAAATTACATATCAGCCGGGCTTGGTGGCTCAGCCTGTAATCCCGCGCTTTGGGAGGTGAGTGGATTGCCTGAGTCCCTGGGTTCGAGACCCGCCTGGGCAACTTAGTGAGACCTCATCTCTACCATAAATCAAAAAATTAACCGGGCGTGGTAGCGTGCGCCTGTAGTTCCAGCTACTTGGAAGGCTGAGGCGGAAGGATCGCCAGAGCCCAGCAGGTCGAGGCTGCAGTGGCCGGGAGCGGCCACTGCACTCCAGTCTGGGCGACAGAGTGAGACTCCAACTCAACTCAAAAAAAAAAAAAAATTACATATCAATAAGTGTGAAATCCAAGATTTATTCATTGCTAGTTAACAAAAGGGTAATGCAATAAATCACAAACTAGCATGAAGTCCACTAATCAAAAATATGATAATGGAGTTATTATTCTTAACTGTAAAAGTATAAAGAATTATGATTATACCAGATCATCACATAAACAAACAATTCATAATCTCTTGGTAGGAGTCAGTAAGGAAGTATACTCATTTAATACTTGCATTTAGAAAAGTATATATAGAATATTGGACTATAATTAACTGCAAAAACAAATATCTAATTAAAAAAATTTTTTTTAATTTTAAAGATGTGGGGTACAATTCATATTTAGGTATAAAAGTGGTCATCATACAGGTAAAATTTGGGCCTCCCTTTGGTCCCTATTTCACCTGGTTTGAGACCAGGTACCCTTATTGATGCTATGTGCTCCACGCCGCTTCCCTGGCAGTAGTGTTCCCCTACTGCCAATCCCTTTCTTACAGTATTATGTAGTACTCAGTTCTTTGTTTCTGTGATACATCACTGGACAACTCTAATTTTTAAAGTGTTTTCTATTATTTTCTAATATCATTATGCCCATTTAAATACACATACAATAACCTGACAAGATATATATTATCATCCATTTTAACAGATAAGAAAACTGAGACTCAGAGAGAAACAAATCTTTCTGAAAGTATGAACTAAAACAACTGGGGTGTGGAATTTGTGTTCTATACACTATGCCTCTTAATTCAAAATGACAAAGATTGACATATATAAACGTGTGTGTGTATCAATCACTCTCGTACCTCAAATTTAAAGTGGAAAACTTTTTATTTAAAAAATTAAGGGTTAACATTTTTTCCTGTACAATTATCAAGTCATCTTGAATATTATAAATAGCATCTTAGTAAATTAAATCATTCCTTTAACCTAGAATGCCACCGAGATGAGACTTTATCTGCCCTGTAACTAGACACCCAATCTTACATAAACTGCATCGCTAGAGGACACTGAGTCTGTTGCATGAGTTCATTTTTTCAAAGGTCCCATAATTGCCATATCAAAATGATGGCTGTACAGCGGCTCCTCCCTGAAGATCTCTCTATGACAGCACTGGGAGCCTTCCCATGGTCTCCCAGTGGAATGTTCCCAGCAGCAGTTACAGCCATATTAATTAGACGATTTGCATAGGGCTGTATTCAAAGTGAAGACTGCAGGTGAGGAAACCACACCTCAATTTACAATCTCTTTTAAGAGGGTTTCTTTCTTGACATTTGCATCTTTGGGGTGACCATTAACCCGGAAATAGTAGATTCTTGTGCAAAAATGGACAGAAAATAGTCAAATTCAATTTTTCCGAAGTGGCTATTTGAGTACTCTATCTTTTTTTCTTTTTTTAACTAAGGAAATACGTTTGCTTTCTCACTGGTAATAGGAAAAGACTATCGATTCTAATTTAGTGCCTTGTTGATGCTATATTTAATTCACAACAGTATAAAAAGGAATAAAACAGACATGAGTTATCCTTCCCTGTTATTGTTTTACACAATAGACATCCTAGGAAATATAAAAATAAAGACTTCAACAGTTCCTAGGATATGACTTTTATTATAAAGCAGTCATTAAAGTCGACTTCAATACACAGTCCAAGAGAAGTCACATATTTTGTGTGCCTGGTTTTGCATAAAGAATCAGAAAGCCCATGTGTATATATGCTGCACTTATAACAGGTTCTGAGTCCTAGACTACTCTGGAACTTTTCTATTAGAACCTGCTATTTTTGTTATGTCCCTGCTAGCCCTGAGTCCCTGGCTCCTAACTCTCTGTTACAGAATGAGCTTCCCATTTACTCTCTAAGTTCATGTAAGGTTTCTTCGTCTGTTAAAACTGGGCTCATTGTAACTACCTCACAGAGTTATTTTAAAGAGTAAATATGATGATGTGTGTAAATTTCCTAACGCACAACATAGATGGTACACAGAAGGCATTTGGTAGCAGTTCCCTCACCAACTCCTGAATTTGGGTCCCAGTGCTAAATTAGGCAGCCCAATTACTCAAGTTGTTCATATGACAAGACAATGCTGAAGGCAACTAAGTCACCTGAGTCAAAATCCATACAAGAGAAGCCTGTTATCATGTTTTCTGCCAAGATTTATCATCTTAGGTTGTGCCAACACTCAGGTAGCTCATAAACTCTCAGGGTCAACAGAGAAGACTGAAGGGAAGTCAATTGTCTCATTGAGAATCATGTTGCTTCTATTTTTAAGAAAGACTGTCTTGCTTATTTCTCCTTCATTGTGTAATGAAGTGGGACTAAAATGTCTTGGAGATGTTATTCAGGAACACGTTCAAAAACCCATCTAAGCAAGAATCAAAATGTTTGATGTTAGAGAGCCCCTTAACATAACTGCAGAACACAAGAAAAAAATATCTCCTTCTTTCTCTGGAAAAATCACAAGATTAAAAGAGATAATTATAAATTAATTAGAAATTTTTATTTAGTTTCTGAACTCTTTTTTTACCAATGCTCAGTAGGCTACACATGCTAGCAAACTGAGGTATGAACTTTTTCCATTTCACTCTCCTTTTCTATGGGAGCTTGGGTCATAGTTTTCCAATTTATAAAATAAGGACATCAATATTAAGCACTTATAAAATGTAAAAGTAACCAAATGATTGTGTGTAGTCATTTAAATCTGAATATGTCAAGAGTGGAGGGGAGAAGTTTTCTCCCAGTCATAAATACATAGACATTCCAAAAAATAAAATGTATACTGAAATTTAAAATAAATGTCTCTTTCTTTTGAAGGGAAGAGTTCATGAGAAGTATTTCTAGGTAATCTTTTATTTAAGGGGAAAAAAGGCAATTTCAAAAATAACAAGTGGCCTTGCCATTTTTTATATGCTTCAGAATAAGAAGACATTGGACCTGCCTACCTGAATAAAGATAGAGATATGATGTAGAACTTCAAACAGGAACTTTCCTGGTGACAGAGAAATATCCAAACAAACTGGGAAAACAGAAACTGACCTAACTCATTTGGAAATGGGCTTGGCAGCTGATGAAATAGGCGAACTATAATTAAGTAATGCAATAAAGGAGGTAAGCACTTTCATGACAACAAAAACACACACAATACATACACTAGTGGGTAGTAACCAGGTTATTCATAGGTTCTTGCTGTCTCAAATTAGAATATATAATGAGATGCCCAGAACAGACACTTGCATTGTTCAGATGCAATCTTACCTGTAGGGGAAAAAAATAAGTGCTAAGCCATTTTGACCTCTAGGTTAATTTCTAACTCTAGGAAGACTATCACCTTTCTAAATTTTTATTTAGTTTAATTTTTTTCAAAACAAAGCCTACAAAGCCACATTATTTACTGAAAATCTATCAAGTCAGTCTTAGCTCAGTTTGGGCAGAAATCACGGATCCAGTTTCCACTTATGTTCCTGGACTTGGACTTGTAAGTTTCAACTATGCATACTATGAGTTTCACTAGGTCTCTCAACCCAAGATAAGGTGTGTCGAAACAATCATTTAACTGTCACATCCTGCGCAAGTAGGGTTAGTGCGCTAGAGGAATTTGGTTCACTGCATGCAACTCCAGGACGAATGGGATTTTGGTGGTTAACTTTGTATTTTCCTTATTAAAATATTCACATACAACTTCAAATTCCTCTTGAAGTTTAAGGAATTAGAAGTGATTTTTTTTTTTTCTCCTCCAAACTAGAAAGTCCATGTAAGGATTTTCTTTTTTTTACCCACAAGGAACTGAATCATCTCAGATAAGGAGACCGGTTAAAATACCCTCAGCGATCACAAGCTACAGAGGTGCCATTAGTTGCACAATGGCATAGCTCTTGCTCCTGAAACTGGTCCGGGGCCGGCTGTTGTGGGGAAAGGAAGCGGCAAGTCAGGGGTAGGGGCCCCAGGAACCAGGACCTGTCCCCGCCCCGGCCCTTCGGCTCCAGGTACCTTCGCGTCGGGAGCGCCAGCCAACCGGGCACCGGCGAGCACCAGCTCCCCTGGAAAGTTTAACCAGGCTAGAGTTTCGAAAACTAGGTACAACACAGAGAAGGACACTCCTTTCTTTTCAACAGATCGTTTCCACTCAGGGTCTAGCTACCCTCCGGCCTCCAACAAGAAAGAACAAAACCTGAAATTTCAATAGTGCGTTTCAGGCGCTTCGATTTCCAGGACCCGCGCATTTTCCGGGGGGGGGGGGGGGGGGGGCGAGGTTTTTCGAGAACTTTTTAATTTGCTTAATAAGGAGATACATTCATTCATGCAGAACACAGAGACCGATAACTAACGTATCGATGAAAGGCATTTGGACCCGAGCCCCCAGTCCACCACTGAGAAAGACAGATATAAGAGACATCATTCTAAATGGACCTTGTGGGCTGCCCTGTATTTGTTTAACGACACATGCCCGGGGGCCGCGTTTGTCTCCTCTCGGAGGGGGACGGACGAGGGCTCACCCAGGCACAGCAGCAGCGCGGGGACCCGGCCGACAGAGAGACTCTCCATCGTTCTTGCCGCGGCGGGCAGGGGCGCGGGGCGCGGGGCGCGGCGCGGGGCGGGCGGCGGCGGGGAGCGCACGGCGGGGCGGGAGAC